TTGCAACTGGGGCTTTAATTTGTTCTTCAGTTCCTTCAGCCTAAGAAATGCTGAGCGAGTTCAACCGTTTTGATTTTCTGACTCCAGCTCTTTGCACATTTCATTATAATACTTTGCTTTGTCTTCCAGAGCTGCCCTTTAAAATCTGTTTCAGCTCCTTAATTTCTTGATTTCTTCCCTTTGCTTTGGCTTCTCAGCGCTCAGAGTCTCTTCTGACATCCACCCTGGTATATTCTTTCTCCTCTGCCTTTGTAATGACCTTTTGCATTCTTCCTGGATGATATTCTTAATACCCTCCCTCAGCTCGTTTACTCCTCACTCATTGGTATTCAAGGTGTCAAACCTATTCCTGAGATGGTTTTGAAATTCAGGTGGGATAGACTCAAGGTCAAATTTTGGTTCCTGTTTCATTTTCTATACCTTCAGCTTGAACTTGCATATAAGTAGTTGGTGGTCTGTTCCATAGTCAGCATCAGGCCTGGTTTTCATAGCTGATATTGAGCTTCTCCAGTGATTCTTTCCACAGACGTAATCTATTTGATTCCTATGCATACCACCAGGTGAAATCCGTGATATTATAGCTAATGTTAGATGGATCTTGGCTGAAAGCTGCGATATCAGAGGAATGTTTATCTGTGTTTCATTGGCTATGCAAAGGCATTTCACTGTGTGGATCACAACAAACTGGCAGACTATGAGAATGGGAATCCTAGAACATTTGATTGCGCTTATGCAAAACCTATACTTGGACGAGGAGGCAGTTGTCAGAACAGAGCAAGAAAACACTGAATGGTTCAAAATCAGAAGGGTGTGTGCCAGGGATGAATCCTGTCTCCATACCTTTTCAGTCTATATGCAGAACAGATCAACCAAGAGTCTGGGCTGTATGAGGAGGAATGTGGCATGAGGATTGAAGTAAGACTCATCAACAAAGCATATTATGCAGATGGCACAACCTTGCTTGCTGGAACTGAGACTCCAGCCTTGAATATGGATTGAGGTTCAACATCAAGAAAACAAAGATTGTCTCCACTGGGCCAATTGGCAGCATTAGGATAGATGGTGAAGAGAATGAGATAGTTAACACTTTTAGTTTGCTTGGCTCCACCATCAACAGTCTTGGTACCAGCAGCCATGAAATCAAGAGATGAATTACATTGGGAAAGTCGGCTGTCAGGGACCTCTCCAGAGTACTGAAGAGCAATGACATCAGTCTGGACACTAAGGTGTTCCTGATCCAGGTCATAATTTTTGCAATTGCTTGTTATGCGACCGTCAAAAGCTGGGCAGTGACTAGGGATGATAGAAAGATAACTGATGCCTTTGAGCTGTGGTGCTGGAGAAGAGTATTGAATATATTATGGACTGCCAGGAGAACAGGTTTGTTGTCCTAGAGAGGGTGAAACCAGGCTGCTCTGTGGAGGCAAGGATTCTGAGGCTTCGTCTGTCATACTTTGGACATGGTGCAAGGAGGGACAGAGATGTGTGGAAGAAGAGTGGAGGGACAGAGAAAGAGAGGAAGACCAATAATGAGATTAATTGATTAATTGATTCAGTGACTGGGGGAATGAGGGTAGGTTTATCAGAGACAGTAAAGTTGGCACAGGATAGAGCAGGTTTCAGGGTTATTGTATATAGGGTCCTTGTGAGTCGCAAGCATCACGACAGCACATAACAAGTATGTAACCAAGTATGTAACCAAGAACCAGTGGTGATGAAGGAGGAAGTTCAAGCTGCACTGACGGCACAGGCAATAAAATAAGGTTTCAGGAGTTGAAAGGATACCAACAGAGGTGTTTCAACAGATGCAGCCCTGAACATGTTCATTAGTCTATGTCAAGAAATTTGGAAGATAGTTATTTGGCCAACTGAGTAGAGGAGATGCATATTTGTTTCCATTCCAATGAAAGGGTTTCCAACAGAATGTGGAAGTTATTAAACAAAGCCATTACTATCACATGCAAGTAAATATTGCTGAAGAGTATTTGAAAATCGCTGGAATAGTACATGGACAAGGACCTGTTAGGAAATCAAGCTGGATTTAGCATTTTAAGAGTGCTACCATTGCTGACATCAGAAGGATTTGCCTAAAAGTAAAGAATGTCAGAGGGATGTTCACTTGTGCTTTATTGGCTGTGCAAAGGCATCTGACTCTGTGGATCATAACAAATTATGGCTAACACTGAGAAGAATGCGGGTCCCAGAACACTTAATTGTGCTCATGCAAAATCTTGACACAGACTAAGAAGCAGACGTCCAAACAGAACAAGAGAACATTGCATGATTTAAACTCAGGAAAGGTGCATGCCAGGGCAGCATCCTTTTTTCAAAGGATACAATGGACAAATGTGCTGTTAAGGATCTCTTTAAAGTGTTGAAGAGCAAGGATATGGGTTTGAAGACCAAGAAGTGCCTGATCCAAGCCATAGCATTTTCCATTGTCTTTCAATGCAACTAAAAATTGAGTAATGAATAAGGAAGACCAAAGAAGAATCAATGCCTTTGAGCTGTGGCACTGGGGAAGAGAATTGACTCCCAAAAGGACAAACAAATCTCTCTTAGAGGAACGGCAACCGAGGTGTGCTCCTTAGAGGTGAAACTTCATCTCATGTACTTGGGGCGTGTTGTCAGGAGGGACCAGTCTTGGGGGTTAGGGGGGATCATACTAAGGAAGAAAGAGGGTAATAAAAAAGAGAAGATCTTCAACAAGATGAATTGACTGGAATTGGTTAGTGCCTATGAAGATTTTTACGATAGTGCACGACAGGGCAAGATTCAGATCTGTTGTTCAGAAGGTCTTCATGGCACCCAAGAACTAACAATGAATCTTTACAGGAGCCAAGTACCCATCTTTCTCCTGAAGAGCATCTCGTGAATCTGGACCACTGACTGGATAGTGGTGCAACATGTAACATTACATCACGAAGGACATATTCAAATAAAAAATTCAGAATCGGTATGTGCTAAAAGGTTCATCTAATGAGTGTTTCTAAAAAACTAAGAATTTTGCATCTGCAGTTACACAGTGAATGTCTTATTACCGCTGGAAGATTTCTTGCGTTGACCACAGGAGGAAAGAAACCCTGAGGAGTATTAAGCTTGCTTCTAGGAGAACAAGGGGTAGGAGGTGCGACCCCACAGGGAAGATTTTTTTGTTCATCCTAAGTAGTGTTAGTAGAAGCCTGTATATGTACAGTGGTATACACTAACTCTCATTTGGCCAGTCAGAGTTGAAACAGGTCTGCCGCAGAGCCAATGCTCAAAGGGCTTCACAGAAGCACCTGGGGAGACGCTCAAACCTACCCCGTCATGGCTCCACCCCAGCCATGCTGACTCAGTAGGTGGGGCTGAGGGATGTAATGATTAAAAATCTCCCTGGTATTCCTAGTGCTCACCCAAGCAAGTTGGGAACCACTGGGAGAGGGATTTGTAAGTTAGGTGGAAGGCTGGGCTATGTGCCCAACCCTGAGATCATGATAATAATAAGACCAGAGTTTGGCTTCAGCCAGTCGATTCCTACTGTATCTGGAGTTAACACCTCAGGACCAGCTCCCACCCACCCTGGGAAATGGACAGGAAGAAGCCCTCACCTTTCAAGAGCCTGGCAGCAAGAGGCACAGCTTGGGCTCAGCGCCTTAGTCTCTGCACGATCCTGTCCTCCCAAGGCTTCATTGAGGTCCTCCTGCACCACAAAGCACACATAAAGAGGGATATGACAGAGGATGTGAGTCACACCTGCCACTGCCAAGCACAGCTCAGGCGGCCTCTCTCACAGGACGGGACTAGCCAAATTCTAAAATTCTGGGTCAATTCACTAACCCACTCTCCCTTACAGATGGGATAACTGAGGACCAGGGGGACAGAAGAAGACAGTTTTATCCCTAGCTCTAAGATCTCAGTGGAGCCTGAGCTCCTAAGGACCTGGGCCCTGAAGAGATATTTTAATGCTACTTTGTCCAAACTGATTTTCAAATTTTGTTTACAGATGAGAGAATCCTTTCCCTTTTTTGAAATTTCTCCTAGTTTCAAATAATTCCAAGATTCAAAAAAATAAGATTTAAGATTTTGAATTAATCAATCCACACCCTAGTTAGTAGAACTCTTAAAGTTTCCAAAGCAACATGAAATATTTCTAGCTTAAATTATTGATGATAAATCCTTTTTAACCCAAAAATGTTGTATTAGTAAACTGGAAAGGCTGATGTTACCCAATCTGATGTATTATACTACAGTCCTGCCCTTTATTTGAGTATAAAATGTACTCTTTCCACCACCATAAAAAATAGTGGCATGAAAAAAAATATGGCACGAGCATCATTGTACAGATAGCTGTTTCCATATTTTTAATTACTTCCTTAGGAAACATCTGGGTCAAAGGTTGCAGGCATGTTTGTGTGATGATGCATATGGTCAAAGGGCTTTCCACAAAGGCTGTAGGGATTACACAGCCACCAACAATGTGGGCTGCGTGATTTGACCACACACACCTTCCTCCACATCAGGAGTTACCACTTCAAAATGCAATTGAAAGGTTTGGTTCAATTATAACTAGGAGGGGGCAGATGATGAAAACATGTGTTACTGAGAATTTCCTCCGTTATTAAAAGGCTATAAGCATTTCATCACATGCTTATTTATTAGTCGTATTTCCTGCTCGTGACTCAATCCATTTATTGATGCATTTTCTAGTGTTTCAGTGTTTTCTCACTACTAAAAAAAACAATCATTTATTGATTACTCATCTTGTGCTGGATGCTTCTCATATTAGTCTCCTTTCTTCCTCCCATATTCCATATTGTCTGCATTTTGATGATGGATTAATGCTGTATAAGTCAAGGTTCTGAGAATTGAAACACCTCGCCAAGGTCTCAGAGAGTGGCAGAGGCAGGATTTGACCAGTAACCGGTCTGAGTCACGTATGTTTTGTTCTTAACCACAGTCCTACCGCAGCCTTTGTGCATTTGTTGAGAACTTTGTATAATAAAGTCTCAACGCTGAACGTTACTTGCTCTTGCTCACCAAACCCCCAACCCGCTCAGGTAGATGTCTTTTAAAGACATAGACACAAACAAAAACATTTTAAAAAGAAAGAAAAATAAGCATAAACTGCTTGCAGTTTTGCAAAAATGAGTCCAAATTGTTGATGTTATTAAAGAGGAGGTAAAAATGGCCAAGAAGCACATGAAAACAGGTTGACTTTCACATGAAGTCAAAGAAACACTGATTAAAACATGAGCTACCACTTTTCACTTAGCACTTTTAGCAAAAGAAGAAAATAACTCCGAGGGTAGACTCAGGTTGGAAACAGGCACACCCCACACCTTGCTGTGGGTGTGGAACCAGGCACTACCTTGCTGTGGGCCAGTTTGTCAGGATTTTCAATGTGGGTACCTTTTGAGACATTACTTACACCCTTAAGTTTTTATCCCTAGGAAATAATCAACTATGGACAAAAGTTTGCCTGTAAAATGAAGTTACTTGAAGCAGTGTTTACAATAATGGAGAACAGGGGGTGGGGGCGAGAGAAGTTGAATGTCTTATCTGTAAGGGGTTGGTTAAATGAATCCACATAATGAAATACAGTCATTAAAACGGAAACTATAAGTTATTCTCAGTGACACGGAGAGCACACACTAATTTGTTAAACAAAGAAAACACATTCTAAAACATAAAACAATATAGTATGGCTCCATCTTTGCAAAAGGAATCTCTGGTTGCCTAGCGGTAAGGAGTTGTGTTGCCAACCCAAGGTAAGCACTTTGAATCCACCAGCTGCTCTGAGGCATAAAGATAGGCAGTCTCTTCCCAAGGGATTTACAGCCTCTGAAAACCTGCTGGTAAGTTAGCTATGAGTTGGTTCTGAGTCATCAACACATACAAACAACAAAATATCTTTGCAAATATGTAAAGAAGAGTTCCTGTAGAACAGAGTAGATTTGCCCAGTAGTTTCTCCTAGGCTGTAATATTTATAGAGAGGGCTCTGGCGGCCGAGCCTGCATTGAGTGACTCTGCTACCCCATAAAAGTCTCTCTCAACTGTGGCTGAAAAGGAGACTTGTACACCGATGTTCATAGCAGCTTTATTCACCATCACAAGAACATGGAAACAGCCCAGATGTCCAGCCACAAACTAGTGGATTGAGAAGTTGTAGTACATTCACACAATGGAATACTACACAGCATGCAGGAATAATGATTTTGTAAATTACTACCTAACTTGGGAGGGTCTGGAGAGCATTAGCTGAGTGAACTAAGTCAGTCCCACAAGGACAAATACTGTATAAAATCATCATTGTTGAATGAGTGTGAGGATCCAAGGGCGGGGGAAGGGGAGTGGAAGCAGAGGGATGAGGATGGGTTGTGGGGGTATTAATCACAGTGTTGCACCATTTGATGGGAGAGTGAAGGAAATAGGAAGGCTCTTGTGTGAAAAATAATGTAATTGAACTTTGTAAATAAATCAGTATAAAATAATTTTGTTTTTAAAAGTCTCTCTAGAAGTTTAAGTCCACCAACTGCCATGTGGGGGATAAAGAGGCAATCTCCTCTTGCAAGTTAGAACCTATGACACCACAACAAGATAAAGGTAAATAATCCAACTGAAAAATGGGCACAGGATATGAACAGACACTTCACCAAAGAAGACAATGAGCCAACATGAAGAAATGTTCAAAATCCCTAGCTCTAAGGGAGATGCAAATCAAAACAACTATGAGATATCATCTCACACCAGTCAGAATAGCAAAATTTAACAGAACAGCAAGCAACAAATGCTGGCGAGGTTGTGGAGAAATTGAAACCCTTATTCACTGTTGGTGGAAGTGTAAAATGGTGCAACCACTGTGGAAGGCGGTGTGGTGCTTTCTCAAAAAGTAGCAAATAGAGACACCATTTGACCCAGCAATTCCACTACTGGGAATATACCCCAAAAAGGCCATAACTGACATCCAAGCAGATATATGCACACCTATGTTTATTGTGGCTTTGTTCACAATAGCAAAGAGCTGGAAACAACCCAAGTGCCCATCAACAAACAAATGGATAAAGAAGCTGTGGTATATTCACACAATGGAATACTATGCTGCATTGAAAAACAAGGAACTCATGCAATATTATTCAATATGGGTGACTCTGGAGGGCATTATGCTGAGTGAAATATCTCAGTCACAAAAGGACAAATACTGCATAGTGCCACTGTTGTGAAACAGGACTGACATTGGGTTGGGGGGGAGACTGAGAAAGATGGGATAAATAATGTACACTGCATTGAAACATGAGGGAGAAAACTGTTTAAAAGGGATATGTAATTAGGTATTACTGTCATGACAGGAGTCCATAACGAAGGCTGCATTGTGGAGTGGACCTGGGGGGGATTGTAAAACAATAAAAGACTTTTTCTTTTACTTTTCAAAGAGAAGAGTGTACTGGGGGGGACCGGGAGGGTGGGCAGGGAGAAAAGTGCAACAATGAATTAATGGAAATCTAAAGTCTCTGTAAATTGTCATTAAAATTAATAATAAAATTTTTTTAAAAAGAAATAGCTATGAGCAGCCTCAGGTGGGTCAGCTCTGAGCAGCTGGTGGGTTTGAACTGCCAACCTTTCTGTTAGCAGTTGTGCAATGCTGTGCCCCCACCGGGGAGCCTTCATGACAGAGGACTACTCCATAGGGGTTTTCTAGTCTGGGATCCTTACAATAACCTAGCTGCTGAGCAGGCGTGAAGTGTCAACAGTTCAGTTTTGCGCACAAGTGCTTAATCATTATGCAGCCCGAGCTCTTTATATGTGCACGCAGAGATAAAAAAGGACTTGACAGATGAAACATTAATTGATATTTCTCCTAGCAACATGGCTTTATACTTTTCTCTAATTTCTGATTTTTTTCCTTAAGCACTTTTATAATTTTTAGAAAATGTTTCTCATTTTTAAAAGGGTTTTCTTACAATCTTCGCCCCTCATTTTCTTGTATCATTTCTAATCCTACAGAGTCACCTCTGCACTTGGCATTTGAGACAGATTGAATTAAACAAAACACAGGGAGGTGCCAGCCCTTCAGAGCTGGGAAACTTGTATCTCATATTTTCCGTCATTTCTCCTGGGCAAATCTCACCTTTCTAAACTTCCAACTTTTGTCTGCAAAAAAAATCCTTGTAAATTGTAAAGGTTTATGAACGGAATTAACAGAATTGCATTATTATTATATTGTTATTATCATTTTAGATTCCGGAAATTTTAATCCTCTCATTTCCAATTCATTCCTGAGATAATCTCTAGACCCAGACTTCTCAAAACATAATCTGGACCAGGAAGCACCCTGGAGAGCTTGTTGGAAATGCAGATTCTCAGGCCCCCCTGCAGAGGCAGTCTGTATGGTAATGTTAAAGACAGCTGAATGAGCCCTCCCACATTGAAAGTGCTGGTCTGGAACACACAACCCAGCTAAATTCCTCCTAATTGGTGAGACTGTTGGGCAGTTAGTGGTAACAGCAGGTACCACCAGCACTGCCATCCATCCAGGGTGCTGGTTCCTGGAGGGTTGATATTCATTATGCCAATTTTAACACACATTCCACACCACTAGTTATGGTGAACAGAGCAGAAGCAGGACTGGGCATCTGGACATTACCCTGGACACAGAAGACAACCAAGAGGATGTTTGATCCGGCAGGTACTGGGCAGCCGCACCCCTGCTTGGCCAGTTTAGGTAGCTAGTAAAAAGAAATAAAAAGCATTTAGAATGTTTGAATCAGTTCTCGAGCTACATGGGAGCCCACACACTCTAGGACTATTAGATCTGTCTGTATTCTGGGAAGTCCTGAAATGATGGGAATTTGCAGTTTATGGTGAGAACCTCACGTGACCACTGGCCTGTTCTCCTGTCAGTCCTTGTTACCCTATTCCCAGCCCTCCCAATCTTGGCCCCCTTCTCTGCCCAGTGTATGCAGAGGCATTGCATTCCTTTGATTTCGGGGTAAACATGGAGCAGCCAGGCTCCCCAGGTTTACTGTTCCTCTAAGGGCCTCCTGCCCCCTCCTGAGGGTCTGAGAGAGGACCCAGGAGTTCCACTGCCCTCTTGCTCCAAGGCAGGGCTGGGGTGGGTAAAGATGAGGGTGTCTAGTGGGCAAAGGACTCACATCTCCCGGTCCACTTCACGGGGCTCCTCAGACTTGAGTTCTGCTGGGGTCACTCCCATCGCGTCTGTTCTCCACATGTTTAGGGGCTCAGCAGGGTGAACAGGGTGCTCCTTGGTTATCTGGGAAGACTACACAGAAGGGTTCGCTGCAAGGGCCACAGTCCCACGGGAGTTGATTCAAAAGCACTTTAAACATCCCCAATCCCATTTCCCAGAGTGAATTCCCATAGCAAGATCTGATAGTCCTCAGCAGAACTGCCTCACACAGAGGATTGATTCACAAAGCTGCAAAGGATGGAAGCAAACTGCCACATTGTTCTTTCTCCGAGCAGCTGGTGGGTTTGAACCACTGACCTATAAACTAGCGGCCAAGTGTTTACCCACTGTACCAGGGATCACAGCATCCCAGATACCCCACGGCCCCTGCCTCCACTCAATCAGCATTCTATCCAGCCAGGTGCCTTGTTTGGTACTCCTCTCTAGCTGGCCCCTTCTCATTCTCTGGGGCTCAGTTTTCATCTTGCCTCATCTGAAAGCCTTCCCTGGTCATTTTCCCCTGGTATCCCTGCCCTCTCATTAGTTAGTTTTGGCTAAATCCCATAACCTAATCGTCATGGTAGCTCACACCCAGGGAGTGCCATACTGTGAACGAAGTACTTTCCATGTATTAACTCGTTTAAACTCCCTGGCAACATCCCTGTGAGGCAGCCAGCTATTATTACCTCCATTTTACAGATGAGGCAACTGAGGCTTAGGAAGATTACCTAATTTGCCCAAGTCCAGAAAGCTAATAAACGACAGAGTCAGTGTGTAAGCCCAGGCTATCTGGCTCCAGAGTCCATGCAGCATGCAAAATTACTTCCTGCATAGTGAGCCTTAACACTCTGTAATTCTGTAATTATCTGTTTATCTGCCAATTGCACGTCTTTGTCACACAAGGAAAGTGTTCTGGTGGTAGATGATTTGTTTGACTTGTTTATACTAAATCTACATTACTTAGAAAGATGCCTTAAAAAAATCTGTATGCTGTCATGTTAATTCTAACTCTTCTTGAGCATGTGTGCCACAGCACGGCCATGCTCCTAATGGCTTTCAAGGACTGTGATTGTTTAGAAATAGATTGCCAGGCCTTTCTCACAAAGCAGCTCCAGGTGGCCTTGTGTTGGCTAGCTTGCATGCTAGCAGTGAAATGCTTTCGTGCTACATATTAGAATGGTACCCTTCAGAAAACAGCTTCTTGGTCTACGTATATGTTCACATGAGTGCAATTAAGGGTTCTGGGATTCCCATTCTTCTCAGTGTTAGACACCGTTTTTTATGATCCACAAAGTCAAATGCCTTTGCATAGTCAATAAAACACAAATAAGCATTCTTCTGGTATTCTTTGCATTCAGCCAGAATCCATCTGACATCAGCAATATCATCCCTGGTGCAATAGTCTCTTCTAAACCCCTCTTGAACTTTTATCAGTTTTCTGCCAATGAACTGTGTTAGCTGTTTTTGGATGGTCTTCAGCAATGTTTTGTTTGCATAGGATATTGTTTGATAATTTCCACAATTCAGCTGGATCACTTTTCTTGGGAACAGAGCAAGGGAACACTGCATGGTTTAAAATCAGAAAGGGTGTGGATCAGGGTTGTACCCTTTCTCCATACTCATTCAATCTGTATGCTGAGTAAATCATTATGAAGCTGGACTCTGTGAAGAGGAACACAGCATTAGGACCAGAGCAAGACTCATCAACAACCTGAGTCATGCATATGACACAACCTTCCTGCTGAAAGTGAGGAGGACTTGAAATACTTGCTGCAGAAGTTTAAGAACTATAGGCTTCAATGGAGATTACATTTCAAGATCAAGAAAACAAAGGTCCTCACCACTAGGCCAGTGGAAAACATCATGAAAGATGGAGAAAGGATTGAAATTGTCAATTATTTCATCTTACTTGGATCAACAATCAGCCCGCTTGGTAGCAGCAGTCAGATGAGGAAATGTATTGCAATGAGCAAGGCCACTGTCAAGACGTCTCCAAAATACTGACGAGCAATGTCCGTTTGAAACTGAGATACCTTTGATTCAGGCTCTAGTCTTTTCAGTCACTTGCTACACATTTGAGAGCTGAACAATGACTAAGGATGACAGAAAAAGAATCGGTGCCTTTGAGTTGTGGTGCTGGAGAAGAGCACTGAATATTCCATGGATTAACAAAAGAACAAAAAGACATATCTTCGAAAGGTACAATCCGAGTTCTCCGAGGAAACAAAGATGGTAAAGCTTCATCTCTCATACTCTGGGCATGTTGCTAGAAGAAGCTACTCCTTGGAGAGACACATCATGCTTGGAAAAGCAGAGGATCAGAGAAAGACTCCAACAAAATGGATTGATTAGAGTGACTGGAGCAATGGGCTCAAGTGTGTCAGAGATGACGACTATGGCACAGGGTAGGACAAGGTTAAGGTCTAGTCATAGGGTCACTGTAAGTCGTATTTGACTCAAGGACACCTGACCAAACAACAACAGAAGAGTACCTGACATGTAGTAGTAAATATGGGCTGAATAAATGAATACGAATACTAATAGTAGACTCTCTTTCCAGGGCTATGCATCACAGAGTAATAGAGTTATGATAATTTCTCAGCAGTTGCTCTAAACTTGGGATCAAGTAAAGAGAAGTAATGGAGGCCTGAGGGAACTGCAGGGCAGGGAAAGGTTGCCAGGTCTTGCGAGGCTTCCTCACAGAGTCTTCCAGTGTGATTCAGGTTGAAGGGTGGGGCTGGGTACAACCTGCTGCAGCCCTTGGAGACTGGTCGGAAAGCATTCAGATTGGTTTATTCCACAACAGCTCAGGAGTAATGACTCTGCACCAGACATTCAGTCAGATGCTCAGAACGCAAGGATGAATGAGGACCAGATAACTGAGACTCAAACTACTGCTACAAGAGTAGAACAACCTCTTAGGGTTTCCAGGATTGTAAGCCTTTACCTAAATCTTTCTCCTGAGGCATGGCTGCTGGGTTTGAACTGCCAACCCTTTGATTAGCATCCACGTGCTTTAATCACAGCACTACTAGTGGTCTAGATGAAACCAGATGCTGTTTGAAACACAAAAGGCAGAGCAAAGACTTCTGGCTGAGGTGGAGCAGGAGGGAGGGAGGGGAGAGGAAAGCGGAATATCAATTACGCAATGACCTTAACCTAAAAGAATGTGATTTCTCCAGGTAGGTGAGTGTTTTGAGGAAGCAAACATGATTCTTTGGAAGAACAAACATTTATATAATCCTCATCATGTGCTTTAAAAACAAACAAAAAACAAAACACATTGCTGTTGAGTTGAAATCAACTCACAGCTGACTGACCCTCTAGCGGGTTTGTTAGACTGTAAGTCACACGGAGGAGGTCGCCCCTCTTCCTCCTGAGCTGCCACTGGTGGATTTGAACGTCAGAGAGGCATGGCCTTTGGGCAGTAGTGCAACTCCCGTCAGGCCTGTCAAAGATCTCTGTTCACGTGCTGAAGGTCAGTCATAGTCGGTGTCTTCAAATGTTGTATGAAATCAGAGTGGGTTTGAGGCAGGGAGCCAAATGATTCAGAGTTTCCCAGAAATTCAACTGAGTTCTTAACGTTGAGGCTAAGAAAACAATACGCAGAGGAAGAAGAAAGACAGTGGTGATTGAGATGAGTTCCCACACTTCCATGTGCAGACAATCCAAAGGAATTTAACCTCAGAGAAGGAAACACTAGAAATGAACTCATGGGAAATCACACTTAACACTGAGTGTAAGACTTTACTTAGAAGAGAGAGGAAAAAAAACTATCAAGAATAAAACTTATTTCTTCCAAATACAATCCACACAAAAAGTGTATTATTCATCCAGAAGAAATAGCTCTTCAGTATGGTTACATCCAAACAAATTAATCTTTTCAAATGCTTGAAATAACTTTTCTTTCTCCCTCCCCACCCCCCTTATTCAAAGATTTCAGAAGAGCCAAAGAGGTGGGAAAAGGAGGTTCAACAATCAAGGTCTAGCCATGATCTCCCACCCTTCAGAAATGCCAAAAGTTGAAATAACTTCTAATTTTAAAATGAAAGGTTCTATTTGAAACAATATGATTCATAGGACTCTGGAAAGTTAAATTCCCATTAAAGTGTTAAAAAAGATTCAATAATTCTGTGGAAAAACCAAGTGCATGCTATCAAGTGGATTCCAACTCATGAAGGCCTTTCATCAGGTTGTTGCCTCAGATGGAAAATCTTTATGGGAGGAGAATTACCAGAACAGACTGCTTCATTTTTTCCCCCGAAGGGCCTGCTGGTGTATTTGAATTGCCAACCTTTCCTTTAGTAGCCCAACAAGTAATGCAGATTTGCTATTGTTGTTGTTGTGTACCATCAAGTTGCTGACCCTCCAGCGGGTTTTCAGAGACTAAAAACTGTACAAGAGAAGGTTGTTCACCTTTCTGCCTTTGGGTTGGCAGTGCAAATTCTTACCACCAAGATACCGGAGTTTCCTCACAAATTATTAGAAAACTTTTTTTTCCCCCTGGAACCAAATTTGGCTGTAGGTTGCCATATTACCTCATTTGAGGGTGGCGGAGAGACGGATACCACATCACCCTGGACGATGACAGAATCCACAGCAGGCAAGGGAAGTGAAGTATGTTTACGCTCTCCGATTTTCTCTTCAACATCTCCAAGGAGCATCTCCAATTTGAAGATTTCACTCTCCACTTTACTGAGTAAACATAAGCAAACACAGCCACGATCATATAAAAGATCCTGTGTTAAGTAGTCAGCATTCTGACCTGGTAACAGCAGCTGCTGAATGCTGCTTTGATGCATATTATGAATGGGGGCTGTGTGCAGGCAGGAAGGATCATAAACACCAGATCTGACTGGCATTCTGTTTGTGGGGTGATGTGAGAGCCTGAGCTCCAATCCTCATTTTGTTCTTCATTAGCTACTCACGTTTGGGGAAATTATCATTCTGAAATTTTTAGAAAAGCTATATACATGGCTAAAAGTTTATAATTAAAAATACATATCTACTTATAGATAGCCTCAACTATAACCTGGAGGTAGTAACAATGGTGCACTTATAGAATCTGATAAGAACTGTGAGTGTATGGAAATTTTTATGCCAATTAAATAAGTGGAAGAATGAAAAAGAAAAATTCGAAAAATATAATTAACAAGCTTAAGCTAACCTGTCTGATTTAGGTATATTGTGTATATGACTGTAAATACACTTTTACTTCCAAAAGATAGAATTTGTTTTCTTCAAATCTATTACATTCATAAAAATGTACCTCATCTTATTAGTCTATAAAGAAAAAGAATTGAAAACATTAAATATTATACAGCTTACATTTTCTGATCACTAAAAAGTAATACAAAAAAAAACAATACACAGACAAACTAAAAAACTAATTCAATTGGAAGAAAAACCCAAGAGGAAATGAAATGGAAATGGGAAATCATTTACAAGTGGACAATATTCAGAAAACAACATAGGAAAATTAAGATAAGGCAGTTACAGGAATTCTGTGAGGGGAAAAAATTAATTAAAAATTCATTATTAGGAAATTAAAAAAAAATCAGTAAGCTGAGTATTCAAAATAAGGCATAAAAAGAACTACAAATTAAACTTGGACTTGTAAAAATAAGCAGAGGAATGAAAGTTAAAGGAATTTGATCAATAAAAGAAAAAATACTTCTTAAAAACGTCTATAAAATAAACTCCTAGAAAGTCTGAATGTGAAACATAATGATAGTAGTGAGAGAGTAAAAATAACAAATGAAATATTAAAGAGAGATTAGATAGTATTACATCAATGCAGTTTAATATCTAGGTAAAATGGACATGTTTCCGGAAAAAATACAAGTTATTAAAATTTACTCAGGCAATCTGGAAAAAAACCCCCATAATAACCAAGGAAAAAAACTGCAGATTAGCGTAAAATCTACCCTTCATGAAAGCGTCATGTCCAAGTGGTATTATGAGTAAATTCTACCCAGACTTTAAGAAATACGTAATTCCTATGTTATTAAACATGTGCAACACAAAAAGGAAAAAAAAGAGCATTTCCCAATTCATCCTCTTGTTCAATATTAGGATGTTTATTAAAGAGAATAATTTAATAAAGAAGAAAAACTATATAGCATTCTAAGTAGATTTCTAAAACCCCTTTGATGAACTTAAACATCTTCTTAAATTGAAAAAAAATTTTAAAAAAACCCGACCCTACTAAATTCTAGAGTAGAAGAAATCTTCCTTGATAAAGTTTATTTCCTTGAACTTACAAAGAGTCATCACATTTGGAAGCATTTCTATCAAAACAGGAATATGATTAGAATATATGCTTCACCAGTAATATTTAGTAATGTTCTGGAAAGACTAGCAAGTGAAATAAAGCTATAGAAGTAAGAAATGGAGGGAAGAAGAAAATATTAATATTAGGGAGAGAAAATTTCATTATTTCCAAATGTTGTGATTTTCATACCTAAAATTGAAACCATCAACTGGGAAAGAAGAAAAAAAAGAATTACAGACAGTTGCTTAGTGTAAGTAAATATACAATGCTTTTTATTTCCTACTTATCGATTATGTAGGAAATACAAAGGGGAATATACTAACACTGATCAGAAAAACTATAATTAAAAACACGAGGAAGTAAAAAAATCCCATGTGAAATACATGTGAAGAAAATATACTCCTGAGTGAGAATATTTATTGCAAAGATTTTAAAGCTTTCTAAATTGATCTGTAAGTTTAATAAAATTGTAAAAAGAAATAGGAAAATTTGGCAAGCTGTTTATGAATTCATTAGTAAGAAGAGTGTGCAAGAATAGCCAGAGAAAGTATCTAAAAGAAAGGAAACTTCCTTTAAAATATATACTCTAAACAACAGGAGTTACAAACTGTGTGATTAATGTATTTCTACATTAAAAATATAGATTAGTGGAATAGCATAGAACAAGGCCTATACCCAGGTGAGGATTTTACTGTATTTGATAAAATTGGTCTTTTCAATGGAGAAAGGCTGTCCTATTAAAAAGTGTGTAATACAAAAATGGAATAAAATACAGAAAAATATGTCTATTATCCAGCAGGCAGAAGCAGAAACAAATATACTACAGATCTAAGAAACCGAAATGAAATGAAGGGCAAGGCATGGAGACAGCGGATGCGGTGGCCAGAGGGATGAGAAAGTAATGAAGGAAGAAAGAGGGGGTGAAAACACGATTTGGAGAGAGATAAAAGACATTTTTTAAGAGAATTTGTGTACTTTTTTTTTTGTGGAAAGCCAGAGGCAAGATTACTGAGAATGTCAGGAAGAGGATGGATGCGAGAGGAATCCCACTTCTTGATTTCTTGGCTTCTGGGGTTAGTATATGAAAGAACCATGTGAAAATAGAACTTTGTCCTAAATAGCTAGATGCACAGAATCCAAGCAAATATTGTTGCATTCTACCCTTGAAAGGTGTTACTTTTAAGAAGAGCCAAACAAACTGACTTAGAGAAAACAAATGATTAGTCAATTAATTTTCTGCATTCTTGCTCCTACAGAGCCATCTATTGATCCAACAACAAACCCCCAAGGCGTCACATACCAAGGACTTCACATCCCAAGTCCCCAAGGGTTGTTTGGGGCTCGGCTCACAGCTGCTGTATGCCCAGATGAACAACAGGCCCAGCCTCCCACTGCCCAGCCTTCGCATGTCCTGAGGTGGCTTTAACTGAGTTTTGGGAGACTGTGTCCCTCCTCTGTCCTGATGTTAAAAGCTTCCCCTGTATATGGGATGTAATTACAGTTGAAACTCTTTTGATTTATACCAGTGCCAAGCACTGTGTGGTTGTAACTAGGATATAAATAATATATTGCATAATGTTGGTCTTGGCGTGCCAAGAGGCCTGTCTTCAAAAGACTGCCAAAAACAAGTGGGATTCCATGAAACAGATATATCATTACTATATAAATTATTAAACAAATAGTGAAAACATCTGGAGATATTTTTTTTTCCTCATTCAGGGAAAAAAATAATAATAGGTCTTTGGGGAAAGTCAATATTAACACCATCCTTCCCCTGCCTAATTATCTAGTGTTGAAATAACAGTAGACAGTGGTCTCATTCTTTTTAAAAAACGCTAAAACAGTACTGTAGGAAAAAAATACCTCAGGCGGCTAGAGCCAAATATAAACCATTAAACATTTGGGCATCAAGAATGACTTTCTGTTAAGAAGTTATAAATAGAAAGAGCTGAACTTACAAGCAATAAATTTAATAAATGGATTCTTTTAATTCATACCAAGAAATTAAATGGAAACAATCCTGGCCCTGAGTCCTGGACTACATCTTAAAATTATTTGGATTGGAGAGAGAAGAGTGCGGTGCTGTACAAATGGCCAGTCACGAACTTGAACACAAGCGTGTCTCCAAGTCTCTGAAGTGGATGAACCTGGGGATCATGTGTCTTTAAACCTAAGGTTTTCCCTTCATCAGGATTTGTGGTTCCCTCATTCCAACACTCTCCAACCTAATAATGATCCTGTCCTTCCCACTGGACCTCAATATTTTTCAGTAAATGAGAAAGGGAAGAAGAAAAGAAAAGAAATGGGCAGGGACAGCAACCACAGAGGTGAGTGTCTTGAGGAGAGAGATGGGGGGAGAGAGGAGAGAGGACATGGAGAGGAAGAGCGCCTTCCGGGGCTCAGATGTGAACATTTCTAGGTTTGCCTTTGTGCCTCTGGGTTTGAGAATCAAGTATCATGACGTCCAATATCCAAACTTACTGCCTTGGTCAATCCACGTCATTAAGGGTCTTCCTCTCTTTCCCTGACCCTCTTTTCCAGCATGATTGACACAGAGACTGTAACAGTGGGCTGGAGAAGGGCAGAGGTTGTGAGGAAGACACAGGACAAGACAATGTTTCAATTTGCAGAGTCACCATGAGTCATAGTCAACTAGAAGACACCAAATAGCTGCCTTTGAGTTGATTCTGGCTCACAGCAGCCCTGTAGAATGAAGGAGAACTGTGTCACAGAGTTTCCACAACTGTAAATCCTTACAGAAGGAGACTGCCATGTCTTTCTCCTGCTGGGTGTCTGGTGGGTTCAAATTTCTGAGTGCTAATTACTGTGCCACCGTGCCACCAATGCTTCTAAATGCAATGCTCACTGGTGGCATAGTTCTTCTCCATGGGATTTGATAATTTTGGATGCTCTGTCTAGGTCAGTGCCAATCACAGGACCTTACACAGAGCATACATTCCATAAACATGTGTTGCATGAAGTGAACAGTCCAATGGTGGTATAGTTTTGGCCCAGACCAGAGACTATCCAAGTGTAAAGTGAAAAACCACATTTAGAACCACACATGAAGGACGTTCGCTCTGAACCCTCCACCACAAGCATTATTGGCTTGAATCTGACCTTTCTGGACCAAAGGCACTGACATCTGGGGATTTATCCTTGGGGTCTCGCTGCTGCAGAGTCAGATGCTTCTCCTTGGTGGCCAGAAACTCCTGTTCCAGCAGTCCAAGATGTCCTTGCATTTTCTCCAGGACCTACAGGGCAGTGAAGGAATTGTCATCATTCAAACCTGTATATACAAACCTGTAAATGCCTTTTTCCTAAAACCGTGAAGGATTAACTTACACCAGTGCCAAAATCGAGCTACCATCTTTCTCCTAGCAGGGCCAATTGTTTTGCTTTAGAATTTGACATGTAAAATGAACAGCTGCCCTGGACGTGCTCACCAAGTTGTGCCAAGAAATCTGGAGAACAACCACTTGCCCAACTGACTGGAAGAGATCTATATTTGTTCCCATCCCAAAGAAGGGTGACCCAACAGAGTGTGGAAACTATAGAACAATCTGATTGATTTCACATGCAAGCAAGATTCTACTGAAGATTATCCAAAAATGACTGGAACAGCACATCAGCAAAGACCTGCCAGAAGTCCAGGCTTGGTACTAGGGATACTATAGCTAACGTTAGATGGATCTTAGCTGAAAGCAGGGAATACCAGAGGAATGTATATCTGTGTTTCATTGACTGTGCAAAGGCACTTGACTGTGCAGACCATAACAAACTGTGGCTGACTCTGGGAAGAATGGGAATCCCAGAACACTTGATTGTTCTAATGCAAAGCCTATACTTAGACCAGGAGGCAGTCGTCAGAAGGTTCAAAATTGGGAAGGGCGTGCACCAGGGGTGTGTCCTATCTCCATACCTTTTAAACCTGTATGCAGAACAGATTATCCGGGAGGCTGGTTTCTATGAGGAGAAATGTGGGGTCAAGATTGGTGGAAGACCTACCAACAATCTGCATTATGCAGATGACACAAACCTGCTTGCCGAAACTGAAGAGGACCTGCAGCACTTGTTGCAGACGGTCAAGGACTGCAGCCTCCAATATGGATTGAGGCTCATTGTCAAGAAGACAGAGATTCTCACCACTGGACCAATTGGCAGCATCAGGATGGATGGTGAAGAGAATGAGATTGTTCACAGCTTTAGTTTGCTTGGCTCCACAGTCAACACTCTTGGCACCGTAGCCAGGAAATGAAAAGGCATATTGCCATGGGAAAGTCTGCTGTTAGGGACCTCTCAAAAGTGCTGAAGAGCAATGGTGTCTCTCTGGAGACTAAGGTGCGTCTGATACAGGCCATGGTATTTGCAATCACCTGTTATGCATCAGAGAGTTGGACAATGACCAAGGAGGATAGAAGGAGAATTGATGCCTTTGAGCTGTGGTGCTGGAGAAGAGTATTGAGAATACCATGGACTGCTAGGAAAACAAACAGATTCATCCTGGAAAGGGTTAAACCGGGTGATTCCTTGGAGGCAAGGATCCTGAGGTTCTGTCTAACATACTTTGGACATGTTGTGAGGAGAGACCAGTCCTTGGAGAAGGACATCATGCTTGGGAGGGTGGAGGGACAGCACAGGAGGGGAAGACCCTCTATGAGGTGGATTGATTCAGTGACGGGGTAATTGGGATAGGAGTATCAGAGACAGTGTGATTGGCACAGGACAGAGCAGAGTTTAGGGCTGTTGTACATAGGGTCTCTATGAGTCACAAGCAACTCAATGGCACATAACAACAACAACAATGCATCCAGTGCTATCTCCACCATGCTCACCTCCACTGTTGCAGTCACTGTGAGCATGGCGGAGATTATGATGACGGCACAAGGTGGGACAAGGTTCTGATCTGTCCTTCATCGGATAGCTATGAGCTGTAGTCCGCTCCATGATACCCAACAGCAAGAAGATCCATGGAAAACAATATTCACAGCATCGTCATTGCACATAGCTCAAAAGTACAGTTATGTCTGCTTTCTCTCCTGGACACTGCCCACAGGCCTCTGGACTTTCTTGTTGCTATGTGCCATCAAGTTGGAACTGACTCATAGCTCATCCTCCAGAGGATTTTTACAGACTGCAAATCACATGGGAGGAAAGTGCCCATCTTTCAGGTTGATTTTCAGAGGTAGTTAATCTCATGGAAAGAGATGGCCACAGAGCAGCTGATGGATTCTAACCACCTGCCTTTGGGATTGCAGAGCAGTTTCTTACCACTGGGCCACCGAGCTCTCTCCCTAGCCACCTTTGTTGTTGTTATGTGCCTGCGACCCATTGTGACTCTGAACCCTGCCCTGTCCTAAGCCATTCTCACTCATTCCAACACATCAACCCCCATTGCCCCAGTCCCTGCGTCAATCCATCTCATCCAGGGTCTTCCTCTCCTGCACTGTCCCTCTACCCTTCCAAGCATAATGTCCTTCTCCAAGGATTGTTCTCTTCTGGTCACATGCCCAAAGTAGACAGAGCTTCAAAATCCTAGCCTCCAAGGAGAAACCTGGTTTCACCCTCTCCAAGACAGACCTATTTGTTTTTTTGGCAGTCCATCATATGTTCAAGACTCCAATCCAGCACCACATTTTGAAGGCATCAATTAGTGAGGCATTAGCCTGTATGTTTGGAAAGTGGTTTTCCACTCGTGAAGCACTTACACATTCTTTATTCTTTTTCATTTGCTTGTTGATGTTGTAGACACTACAAAGCAAATTTTATTATCCTCACTTCATATAGGAGGAAATTGGAGATCTATGCAATATGGCTGAAGCCACTAAAGTGTAAAAATAAAACCGGAATTAGAGAGCCAGGGTTAGAGTCTATGGGCCCTTCAGAGTGACATGAGGAAGGAACAGAAGGAAGATCTAATCAATAGCTGCAAATGGGGCCTCCAGACCTCCATACTTGCCACTCTGTGCAGGTGAATGTTTAAACTGTGTGGGTCAAGGGTTTGTCTTGATGATGTCTTTAAGTTGTGCCTCCCCACGGGCAAACATTTTCTAAGTGCTGCCTGTGTCTGGCCCTGAGCCAGGATGAGACTTTTTTTGTTTTAAGTGTCCATGGAATATTCAATACTCTTCTCCAGCACCACAGTTTGAGGGCATCAATTCTCCTTCTATTATTCCTAGTCATTGTCCAGCTTTCTGATGCATAGTATGTAATTGCAAAGTCTATGGGCTGGATCAGGCGCACCTTGGTCTCCAGATGATAGCAGTCATACGATGATTAAAAATAAGAGCTTGAAAAGATACTGACTGCAGTTGTTAGGTGCCTGCAAGTTAGGTATTACTCATAGTGACCCTATGAACAATAGATCTGTTCTCTGTCCTATCCTGCACCATTCTTATAATCCCTGACACAGTTGAGTCCATTGCCACAGACACTGTACCAACCCATCTCACTGAAAGTCTGCCTCTCTTTCACTGACCTTCCATCTTTCTAAGCATGATATCCCCTTCCAAGGAATGGCCTCTCCTCATTATATGTCAAAAGTCTGTGAGATGAAGCTTCTTCACAGTCCTTGCCTCCAAGGTGCACTCTGGTTGCACTTTCTCCAAGACATAGCTGTTTGTTCTTTTGACAGTCCATGGGATATTCTGTACTCTTCTCCAATACCAAAACACAGAGACATCAATTTTTCTCTTGTCATCTTTACTCATTGTCCAGCTCTCAAATGCACAGCAGGTGATTGGAAAGATTGTGACTTGAATCAGGCATACCTTAATCTTTAAATTGATATCATTGCTCTTCAAGACTTTGGAAATGTCCCTGACAACAGACTTTCACAATGCTATATGTCTCCTGATCTCCTGACTGCTGGTTCCAAGTTCCAGTGTTGATTATGGGTCCAACTAAGATTAAATCATTGACATTCTCAATCTTTCTATCGTAAGTTTGTCTATTGGCCCAACGGTGGGGATTTTTGTTTTCTTGAGGTTGAGATGTAACCCATATTGAAGGCTACAGTCCTTGACCCTCTGCAGTGAGTGTCTCATGTCCTCCTTGCTTTCAGCAAGCAAGGTTATATCATAGAACTGTGTGGAAGATACCTTGCAGCGCATGCGCGTGCGCGCGCGCGCACGCACACACACACACACACACACACACACGTCTGCTGGAAGAGGCATTCTCTTTCTTTTTCTATGCCCAAAATGGCGGCCTTTGGAGGATTATATCAATGGGCTTCTTCACCTTCAGAATTGGTTTATTTCAGCCAACAGAAAACAAAGGCAGGAGAAAAGAGGTTGGAGAAGGATGATTTCTCCATCCTCATGTCATTGTGGATTGGCTGTGTCACTCTCTCACAGGCCAGTGCTTCTCAACTTCTCCTGCAGCTACAGCTACTCCCTGCAGGCTCCAGTCCCTGCACCTGGATGTGGGTTAGGCCTTCAGGCCTGAGGGTACAGAAGCTCTCCACTGTTACTTTCTTGAGATGCTTCTCTACTTCTTACTGGTCTCTATGTAAATGTACAATGTCTTACTAATTTCTTCTTGATTACCTCACTCAACTGAGCCATCTGGTTTCTCCCGAAACCCTGACTGACTAAATAGCAAGACAATGCTTGGATTTCTAGTTTGGGAATTGAGAAGAACATAATGACCCTGGCAAAAATGAAGGATTTCGAAAGACCAACAGTTTGAGCTAAGATGTCATTGTTGGCCACGTTTGCAGTGAGCCGGAGTTACCAAGTAAAGATAAACACAAACATTTAGAGCTACAGATAAGAAGTTAGTACTAGAAATTTAGGAATCTGTAGTATGAAAATGAATTTGAAACTATGTTTTTGGTTTTGCGCCATCAAGTCGTAATTGACTCATAGCTGACCCTCCAGCAGGTTACCAGAGGCAGTGAATCACATGGGAGATTGTCCATCTTTGTCCCACAGAGCAGCTGGTGGATTCGAACTGTGTGCCTTTGGATTGCAGCCCAGGTTCTTACCAGTAGGTCACCAGAACTCCCTAAAACTACGAGAAGTACTCAAAGGAACGGGGACAAGGAGGGAAGACAGTCATGAATTATAATTTAGGATCTTGGAATGAGTTTAAATTGTGCTGACCAGTTCATGATGTAAGTGTACTTCATTTGCTATAGACTCTGAGATGGAGATTCATACTCCAACTCGTCTAACATACATGACTAATAAGTATTGGTTATAGACATGAATGCTACAAAACCCAAATGCTTTCTGCAAATGCTTCTCTC